CCCTTTTGAGAATGTCACATGTAGATTTTTCTTCATCAAAACAGTTTCAACACAAAACCTGGGTTTGTGTTCTAAACGGCTCAGTGAAAAGAAAAAAACAACAAAAAAGAAAAACAAAGTTAGGAATAGGTCTGGGAAAATAGAGTGGAAAAGAATCATCTTTTGAGCTTTAACTCGTTTGTCAAATGAAGCCTGCAGCTCTACTAAACAACAGTATGGCGGATTAAAACAAGAAAAAGTTGACATTAATTTAAGGATTATTGCCTTCATGCTTTTATAGAAAATGTTTTTGTAACCAGATATATTATTACAGCTGTGAATAAATAATGTTTGTTGAAATAGCCAAGTCAACAATAGACATCATTTGGTTTTAAAGTTGTTCTGGATTTAAACCTGAGATGATGTTGCTGCTTTCATTTTCAGGTATAAACCAGTGTTTCTCAACCCTGGTCCTCACCGCCCCCCTGCTCTGCACGTTTTAGATGTGCCTCTTTTCAAGAACAGCTGATTCAAATGATTGCATGATCATCAAGTACTGCAGAAGCCTGTTAATCACACAGAGATACAATCCAGGTGTGTAGCAGAAGGGAAATACCTAAAACATGCAAGACAAGGGGGGCGGTGAGGACCAGGGTTGAGAAACATTGGTATAAACGCACAAACACCTTCAAATTCAGTGCTTCTTGACTTCTTGATCCATGCATTAATTTGGACAGTATATTCTTATTTTGTGTGTGCAATTTGAAGTTTTCTTTTCAGTTTGTTACTCTTTTTTTAGTCCGTGTAATGTACCCTCCTCGGTCTCATATACTGCATGTTTGGGCTGTATGTTTGGGCTGGTGCTGAGCAAAGACCAAAAGGTTCAGGGTCCATATTCCTGTGTTGATGAAGGTCATACTGTATTTTCAGGATTTCATTCTGGAAGTTTAAATGTTGCACATAGACAACTTGTTGTGTTCGCTCAATCTCTTGCTCACACACCTGGTTGTGTTAATTACCATATTAAATGATGAGAAATAATTGTTGCCCATAAAGGCAAGAAGGATTCTTTGATTACAATATTAGCAAGGATTTTTTTTACTGGATGTAGCAGCTTTTCAGAGCATTTTACAACTTCAATAAATCAACCCAGCTTATGGACACATTTATAAGAAAATTTAAAATTATTCTTTTTAGATTTCAAATTTAGAAACTCTGTAGTTGACAAGAATAAAATGATGGGTATTAAAGTAATTATAACACAAGATATAACATATCTTGTGTATAAAAGGAACACCAATGGTGTCTTTAGAAAACAACAGTTTCGAAAGCAGTTTTATCCATTTCACTGATCTAAATTTGTTGGCACGTGATAACCAGAGTTGTGTTAATCCAGTGCTTACCTACCTGAAGTTCAGTGTTTTTTGTTAAATTAGGCTGGATATAAATCAGACTGAGAAGTTTTACACAACTTTTAAAATGGTTGTCAATCTACCATGACAACAATGATCATTTTGTCTGACCAATGATGAGTTTTTTCATTGGTCAGACATCTTCTTTACGGTTCCTGGAGTCTATACCTTCAGCAATATCTGATGCCAGGCAAACATTGGTTGGGTGCATTACCCCTCACTTATAAGGCTCTTCGATTTCACTGCAAATCCAGAAGGGACATTGCTGTCAGAGTTACTAGTTTGACTTCGTTTAGCATGATATTGATGCTGTTTGCTTTGAATAGCTGCCAACACAGGGTGTCAGCTGAATTGCATCATGCCAGTCGTAACAGTTGGTATGATGGAGAAATGCTTCTGTTCATGGGGAAAGATGCCTCAGAAAGTCCCCCCACCCCCTCTACATCTGGTAACATCGCCTGAGAGCAATGAGATCTCTTCCAACCTCACATTGTTACTTTTGCACTCATACATTTTTAAGATGTCCCACTGATCCTGACCTGCCGACGAGTGACAATAAATTCTCCCTGTGTGTAGCACTAACTTGTTTATATCTAACGGGCTGTCAGCGCTGCTGCAAGACATAACAGCTGTGCTTCCGTGTGTCGCAGGGCTGAGGTATGCGTTTCACTTCACAGTTTAACAAGACACAAACTCCGGTTAAAAGGATAAAGAATGAAAACTAAATAAAAAAGGTAAGTGTTGTGCTCGCATTTTTCTGTTGCTGTGTTTTTCCATGTTTTCCTAGATAAGTGACAGGATGTGGACAACCATGACAACTGTTTGACAGTTCACTAGAGGAAGGTAATAATGAAGGTTTGGTAACGTAAAGCACAATAGGCTTGTCACATTTACATCTTAGTGAAATCCACACAATGGAAAAGAATGCAGCATCTACAAAGAGGACACAGTGGCACTCGCTTATTGCTCCTCATCATAGTTGTGCATAAGTGAGCAATTAAAAAGCCATCATCTGACTCCCAACTAATTACCCACACTGTAATCTAACCTTGTTGATATTAAATAAACTACATGTTCATAAAACAGACCTAAAGTATATTCTGGATACGCTGAATGTCAGAGACTGAATCAGAAGAGTCTCTGCACAGCATTACAACTCTGCAGTTCTGTGACACAAAGTGCTGCTTGAACAACAGTAGATGACATTGATACAATTAGCATCAGTGAAATTGATTATTTTACCTGTATAGCATACAAATAACTGTAGGAGGTTTAAAGGACAGAAAAAGCTTTTGGCTACTATTGATTTCCTCTAATAATACAGCAATAATCAGAATGACTCAATAAAGTTTTAAGTAAAAACCATACCAATTGTTTCCATAATGCAGGGCAAAACAAGTCATGCAGTTTTCTAGTCCTTTAAAACAGGGATTTTTCCAGGCGCACAGTTCCAAACAAAACTGTGCCCTTATTTCATAGCTACATGCAAATATATGTAGCTATGAGAACTACATATATTTGGTATCATTTCAGATTATGACTTAATTGATCAAATATGTATGCATGTTACTGTTACAATAACTTGTCTAGCTTAATATGCAAAAGACTTTTGGTTAATGTCATTGTCCATTATCTTAAAGCAAATAAAACTTAAGTTTTATTGTTAAGTTTTAAATCTAATTCTAGATTTACAGAAAATCTAAGAATCCCAAGTCATCTCTAGCTTCCTAGGGTGCATGAAACGCATGAGCAGAGGATTGTTATACAGATAACTTTTGTTTTAATCTCTGACATTTTTCTCTTCTCTCTTTTAGGAGGACTTTATACCATTTTTATCGTGTCATTTAAAAACTACAATGCTCTTATCGTGGGCAGTGCGTATTGAGCAGCTCAGCTTAGTGCTGCTGGGCAGCAGTATTTCCACTGAATAATGAAGCAGAATGTGTACCCAGAGTTCTAATTAAAACCCCCGGTCATTAATCTATCTAAATGATACAATGCCTTCCAGTATAATTTTGTCCCAAATGGACCATTTTAGTCTGCAACAGCAGCCTTTGCTGACCAGACATAGTGTGTCAAACAGCCATGAGACGAGACAGCAACTTGTAACCCCCACAAGCTTATAGTGTACATACACCAACACATTTAACAAGCTAAGGAACACAAATGACAAGATATTCTACTTTTAAAGTTAATAGTCATGTAAGACAGTCAAATTCATCCTTTACTTTTTTTTTTCTTACCTGACATTTTCGCAGGGTTATGGAGGACAGATTATGGCTTCACAGTGACTGCTTGCCATGGCATGTAAGAAGGTCAGAAACAGCCCAGTCCCAAAGAAATATGTCATAAGACAACACCTCAGTATATCATGCTGCCATGATGTGCTAGACCTACAAGCAGCAGTCAAATCAACAAGGCTCTTCTGTGTCGTCTTGTTTTTTTTTGTTTTGTTTTAAACAAGCTGGTAGAAAGTAAGGTGGATGATGTCACCACCTCAATAAAAATGACTTTCAATGAATTTCTTTGATGAGGCCACAACATTTTAGAACTATTGTTCTCTTATGGATAAAGCAAGCACATCCAAAACCGATGAATATTTAAAGAAGTTTTGGTATCTGTAACTGTTGAGAGTTTATTTCAATAAATGTGCTGCTAGACATAAACCAACTAAACTGTTGAAGTACAAGTGGCTGATGTGGGTTTTCAAAGCACAGTTGAGATCATTTACAACTTCACTTTAATCTAGACAGCATAGCCTGTGAAAAATTTGTCCAAAACAATTTATTAAATACTTGTCAACCATAATTTTTATTTTGCACTGTTATCTGGTCTTAATGAGGCTTTCATAAATATGCCATACAGTATTTTGTTGACCCAGGAATTTACTGTTAACTTGTCTAGGGTGTACTTCGCTTCCTGCTCAATGACCATTGAAAATGGGCAGAACACAAGGATATAAATGATGGATATATGAATGGGTGGATGTGGTGATATTTCGTTATGTAATATTTGATCTGTTTCCCCTAGTTCTTTTCACTAATCTATTCCATGGTTGTCCCCATCTGATGATCAGCCTGTCAGAAACTCATAAATCATTTCTTTCCCCATGCAGTGAACACCTCATACTTAACTGCTGAAAAGTTGTGCATACAACAAACTACATCATGGATGCTGCTAATAAGGAAAGTCTATATGCAAGACTGGGCTATAGTGTCCATATGTTGTTAAAAAACAAATTCAGACAGCCTCATTAGTGGGAGGAAACCTCATCTAAATCTTCCCTTCACAACTCCCCTGCTTTGTACTTTTTAGACTGCATTCCCTCCTTTCCAATTAGTACAGAGATGTAAATTGTTTTGTAGCACTAAGCATGGTAACTATACGTTTTCATGCTAAGCTTATGCAGTAGCCATGGAACATGTTTTGGTCAAAATAGAAATTGTTTTTGTAAACAGAGGGCATGATGTACTTCTTTTGGACAGCCACCAAGTTGTTTCTTAATATAATAAAATGGAGATCTCCTTACTGGCGTCACATTTCCCTCAGAAGGTTCACGAAGTGTTGCTGGATTAGCAAAATTCTTGATTGTCACGAGGTCAACTTTGTAGATAAATGGCTTTAATAGCAACAAAATCTCGGTTTCAATTTTATTGATGATAATAAGGGCATGCAAATAATTTATAGCAATAATAACCAGTGGACATTATGCATGCAAAATAATGCAACCAAACAATGGTGCATGCAGTGACAGCAGTAAGTCATTATGTATCTATTTACAATGTATTGTTTGTTTGTTTTTTTTTTCCTGTTTGCTAGAACAAGTTTTACCACTATAATGAAGGGCCTCATCTCATATGCAGTATCTAAATTCAGATAAATTAGCAAACAATTTAGCTGTATTATTCAGGAACATGTGTGCCAAATTTAAAGTAATATAATGAGATGCAAAAACTGTAATGTTATAATAACCTGACTGAGACAGCGTTGGCTTTTATAACTAGAAAATTAGGTAGGAAACAATTCCAGCAGGCTGATATGCCGTCACAGAAGCCTAATTATTGTCCTCAAGAGACTCCACATGTCTGTTGTCTCAGCAACTAAGCAGCAAGAAATATAGTTTTTTGTTCCCCCCTTTATTAGTGGAAGTAAACTTAATACTGGTTTAAGTTTTCTAACTACAAACTCAAAGCATCCAAGTTGATTTTGTCCGTGTAATTTTTAGCACCAAGCTCAGTATTCAGTGTATTAGTCTAAGAGCAAAAACGTCATGTCATTGAAATGTTCTCATAAGGTAAGCTGAATGTCTTGAGATATTGCTCAGCAATGCAGTCACTCATTGATGAATGTTGTTTTGAGAAAATAAGAGGACAAACCGCATCATTAAGGCCAAGGAACACATCAGACAGATCAGGTTAGGGATAAAATGGTAAAGAAGTTCAAAGCAGGGTTAGGTTATTTAAAAAAATGAAGCAAGCTTTGAACATGTCAGGAACCACTACGTGATCTATAAAATGAAAGGCATAGAGTGCAACTGTAACCCACCAAGACATGGATGTTGATCTAAACTCATAGGTTCAGCAAGGAAAACATTCATCAAAGAAGCAGCCAAGAGACTGTAAAAGCTGCAAAGACTCATAGCTTAGCTGTGAGAAGTTGTTAGCAATCTGTAAAAAGTAATGAACTCTACAAATCTGGAAAATCAGCAACAATAAGGTCATTGTTGGAACAAAACTGAGTCCAAAATTGAGTCATTTAGTTTTTTTCTTAAAACCACTAAGAGGACACAAAAAACATGTGAAGTTTTCTGGTCAAATGTAACTTTTGGCTTACATGCAAATGCTACGTGAAGGAAATCTATCATGGTGGTTTTCAGCATTGCACCATGGGGATGCATTTCTTCAGCAGGTCAGAGTTGATCGCAAGATGGATGGAGGTAGATACAGGGCCATCCGCTTGGAAAAGCTGTCAGGAAATTGCAGAAGGCTTAAAACCAGGGTAAGGTTCAGCTTCCAGGAGGAAAGCAAACCTAAACACACAAGCAGAGCTACAATAAAATGGATATAATCACAGCAAAATCATCTGTTAGCAGTCAAACTCCATGCTTAAATGCAATTAAGAAAAATTCAAATGTCCCTTTCAATTTTCAAATATGGTCTTTGTGTTGGTCTATCACATAAAGTTCACAAAAAAATAAAACTGGAGTTGCAATATGACAGAATATGAAACAATCAGAATAGAATAGAATAATAAAATAATAATACATTTTATTTATAATGCCCTTTATATTTTTGAATATGAACATGTCAGAAGGCACTATTTAATGACTTAAAAATCTAACTTTTTGTTCTATTCTTTAAAATAGAACAGAAAGCTTTATTGTCCCTCTGCTGAAACATGAAGATTTGCACCAAGGTAAAAAATATAGCAACAGAAAGTAAAAGAAAAAACTGCACAGCAAGGGCAAATTGATGACATAAGAAAATAATGGGCCGTAACAAAAGAAAAGCCCACTCGAATTCAAAGAAACATGCCACTGAGTGGGATAAGTGAAGAAAATTTGCAATATGTCAATGTATATCTGTGCATTAGACAGACTAGTATCTGCAAGACATGAAAATAAACAGATATACACAGCTTGAGGGCAAGGGATAGCTTTGCACCAGTCTAAAGACATTAGATACAAATAAGCTGAGTTTAAATCACCCTAAATATATGTTCTGCTTAATGCATCTCCAAGTGGAAAACTGTTTTAATCCAAACATGAAATCAGCTGATTTAAATATTTGTGTAACAGTGTGTTGGGTTAATTTAGATAGATAAAAGGTGAACAGCAAGCAAGGGAACACACAGGAAATGGAACAAATTAAAGGAGAGAGACACAATGTTAATGGAAGGCAATAATTACATGGATTAAAAATCTAAATCATGGAGAAGAAGCACTCAGTGCGTCAGAAGAGGCCTTCAGCATTACAAAGGAAGGTTCAGGGTCATGATAGCCGACTTGAATCATTGTTTACAAAAAAAACCTTCAAAACGAACCAATAAAGAAAAAATGTGATGTGATTCAAATTTTAGCCAAGGCCTACGCAGAATTCAAGCAATACATTGAAAAAGACGGAAACACTACAAACAATAAGATTATCTTAATCCATTTCATCCAAATGCAAAATCTGCTGTTTGTTTCTATAATGTTTGTGTTTATTATCAATGTTTTAATTAGCACAAATATTCTCAACATCTCAACTGAAATAAAAGCAAAGCTGAAAATGAAAAGAAAGAAAATGTGTGGCATAAATAAAAAGACAAAAATACTGCTGTAGATGAGATTAGAAAAGCATGTGTATGATAAAGGTTTTAAAAATTTTTATGTTCTGAATCAATACAACACAAAAGCTGTGGAAATGTTACATTTCCAAAAGTTTACACTTTTGGGGGGGAAAAAAACACACTCTGAGCTGAAAAAATATAGTCTGCATGTACAAAAAAATAGAAATGCTTTGCCTGATAACCACAATTGAATATTTGTTCAGTGTAAAGTTCTAAGTTTTAAAATAACAGATAAAAATAAGATTTCCTTGCCTTCTTGAATTATCTTTAAAGCCACTGGTTTCTGAAGAAATGGTTCAAATTGCCTGCTTTATTTGCCTCAATAAGACCCATTTCTAACCACATTTCTCAGCTCTTTGGAGGCAAATGAATGCACTCTTAAAGCATATCTGGATGATCGTTTATATTTTCAAGAATTCTCTGGGAAATATTAACATCCATTCATGAGAAAAAAGGTTTAGCATGTGTCAGTTATACAAGGCTTTCAGCCATTTCCAGTGGATCACCTAGAGAACTCTCCTGGTGAGCAACTTATGTTACATTCTACTGTACAAATACTTAATGTGTTGAATTACCCATGAAGCATATGCAATCATTCAAATGTCACTGTATTATAAGCAATGCTCATGATGATGCGTCCTAATAAATCACTTGCACCCAGAGGAGGCCACAAAGCTAGCATGTTGCTTAGGGGTTAGATAGAAGCTCATCATTTATTTCCCAGGATGCGGGGTAAGGAGTGTTGGACCACAGAGTTGGTCCTGCTAAAGTGCCCCTCGCTACAGGGGGCAGATGTTTACTGACAGCCCCACAGAGGCCGCGAACAATCATCTGCTCCCACACATTCCTTGAGGGGCCTTGCTATTACATTAATGCATGGGGTTTCATCTCATTATTCATAGCTGCTTGACTCCAGAGGGAGACTGTTGGGAGGAAGTTACTAGGGCAGGGAATGGATACTGGGTCAGCTTTACCATTCCAGGTGGCATTAAGCCAAAGAAAACGAGCCCCACAGAGACCTGCTACTCTGTGGCAACGGAAAGTTTGTTTAAATATAGCCCTAAATTAAGAGTCACAATGCAAATAATATTTTTAACCTTTAAGGAAAATTATTTGAACTGGTTTTTATCAATTCATCTGAGGGTAAGCGCTTCTTTATAGCAGAGCAACAATTGTGATCCGTATCAGCATATTTTTAATTAGAAGGGACAAATTTGACCTAGTAAAAAAAAACTACTTTTAGAAACGTCAACAAGAGTAATTAGTTCAAACTCTGCTCATATGTTATGTTAAATTCTTTAGCAAGATATTGAGCTATTATATGTTTGGGATAAAATACACTATTACTTGGCTTGATATAGAGATGAACAGTTGATAGATTATGTTTGTAAAGCTGCTGTCACCATGTTTCATGTTTTGTTCCATACCTAATGATAGCCGATGGAAAGTACAAAGCACTATACACCATTTTTGAGTGTTCATAAATGTTCAGTTAATTAGTTACTAAATTATGTTGAAAGTAGGGGAGGTTGTTGTGATTTACATATGTTAAATTGGTAAAATTAATTCTAAATACAATACACATTTGTAGAAAGGCATGCTGGACAACTTTTTGCCTAAGCATCATTAAAAGAACAGGCAGACATGCCCATAGTGTGATGGGGGTATGATGACAGTTATTGAGTTTGAAATTCTGAGTAAGCCATGGATACTAACTTTGCATACAGATGCATCCCCAATTTTTTCTAAAATCAGACACAGGTCTAAAGCTGATCCAACCAATCCAGACCTTGGCACCGGGTCACTTCAAGCCTTGAACATCGTCTCAAGCTTCAGCCTTTTCAGGAGACATAAATATGCAGTAGTCCCTGTTCAACTCATGTTTTTTGGGGGGGTTTTTTTGGAAACTTGAAGGCATTATTTCTCTACTTAGTTGTCAGATCGTTTGCTTTTTACCTAGAATAGAAATATAATTTATTATTCTACAGTGGGGAAATTCAGTTGTCACAGCGGTAAGTTAAGGTTAGTGGGGACATGCATATTCACGCAAAGGTAGACGAATAAAAAAAATAAATCACTGTACAGTCATAATAAATGCACAACAAAAGAAAAAAATTACTGTGCGTTAGTTAAATGAAAATAGACTCAGATTTAAAAGTAATTAAAGTAATTAAAGAAGAAAAATGTACAAGATGTCTACGGATAGAAATGTGCATAAAAACAACAACCGGTTTAAAAGTGACACCAACAATAACTTTTCCTTAGTTTAAAAACTGTCCCAATCATCAGATACTATTTAATTCAATTTGAAATTAAAAAGTGAGAATAAACAATCACAGCAAGACTCGCAGTCATATCAGCTTGTCAAAGAGACTCTGGTTTACATTAAATATGTCACATAGATGTAGAAGTTCTTTGTCTCAGGGACAAATAACTAAGTTATTTAAAAAAAACTTTTATCTGTTTATTTTATTTTTATTTTTTTTTTTGCAAAAGCAACAGAAGACAGAGACAACTGGCTCCACTAATATTCCTTTAGGCTTGATATGAAGATGCAAGATGGATCACATGGAGTCTTGTTGGAGCTGGAAAGTGGTACAGCTACAGCTGATGGAAACCAGGCATCGTACCAAGAGATAATATATATTTTGTTTGTGCAGAACTTAAATGCTAAAGAACAGTGCTTCCGTACTTACAGTACAGAAGTGCTGTATTTGTTTGCTCATTTTATCGATGCCCTCTAAAACGCAATTGGAAAATAAGATCCAAACAGGCGGACAATGTCCATAATTATATCATTCTAGTAGAAAGAAGAAAACACACGTAAAAAACATTATTTTATCTGGTTTTTGCCAAGAGTCAGCAACAGCCTGTCTTTGTTCAAGTTTTGAATTTAATCTTCTTAGTAAGAAATTATTCATGCCACTGAAGGCCCCTTTTAACACAATGCAAGATGTACTTCGTCACGCCTTGGAGTCTCTGTCTCTAATTTGAGCAATGCAAAAATACATTAAGAGAATTTAATCTATGCTTACATGAGACTCCTGAATGAAAACTGATGGTATTTTAAGATGTTGGCTGAAAAATTCCACCTTTAGACGGCACTATGTCTCTGTTTAGACGAGGCCACCAATCTTTCAACTAAAGTAATAGAACAAACTGAAGAAAGTATTGTATATGTTAACATTTCTCTCAGTCCAATCGGTGTATTTCACATCACATGTGACACAATCCATGCGAAATAAAAACTTAAACACCACATATGAAATAAAGGGGAATTTATCGGAATAAGAACTGAACACTTGATCAGAAAAATGCACAAAATGTATAAAAAAGACAAGGCAATAAATATGTCAGTGTTAAAAAAAAAAAACATTCTTTCCTCTTAACAGAGGAAAAAAATACCAGCTTGTCTTGCACCAACTGAGGCCTTTAAAAAGGCTCCTTGCTACCAAGGTATTGCAAAAGAAGCATGTTATGATGGCTGAAAGAAAAAAAGCTCTCGCAAGACCCCTTCAACCTGATTGTTCCAATACTGGTGGCATTGGTTGCAAACATCAATGAAAGACTCCTAAATTAGCCTCGACCAGGTGCACCTTACAAAATGTCTGAGTGTAATATTAGTAATTATCAGAATAATTGCCCAAAAGCCAAGGATCACTCACAGAGAGCTTCAGAAAGACCTCAGTGAGCTTTTCCATAAAAAAATAAATAAATAAACTCAATCACCTCGGCTTCTAAGAACACTCACTGGGACAAGTCTCTACTGCTGAAGAAAAAGCATATTCATTTGTTTAATTTTTGCTTACAGCCCATGATGTAGCTGAAAATATGGTCTTTCAGACCAAAAAGACTCTTTAGATGTAATTGCACACCACATGTTTGGCATGTGTTCATCATCATTTTGCTTTACGTAAGAATTAATCAGTGGAGAGACGGTTATGAGAGGAACGTAGAAAGAAAACAAGTGTGAATACTTCAGCAAGACAGTCATCTCAAACAAACAATTGGTGAATATCTCAGTTGGTTACAGAAAGGGCAGCACGGTCCTGGCCTGGAGTTTGCACAGTTCTCACCAGGTACTGCAGTTTCCCGCCAAAATCCAGAAAAGATGTTAAGTAGCAAACGTTATTAATGCATGCAAATAATTTCTTAACTTCTCCATATAGAAGTCATCTTTCAGCTGTTTTTCTGCATTATAGGCTTTTTTTTCCTAATTATTTGTATTTGTGGACTCCCTGGGTTGTTAATAACTTACGGTGTGAACAGCATGTCAGCAGGTCCATTAGAGATGTCTTCACTAAGAAAAACAGTAACGTGATTAACACTTATTTTACCCGCTTTACTTCATAGCCGTACTATTCATATGAGACCAGAGAATGAATAAGATGTCTTCTTAATCTGAAGTAGACTTATTACTGATCATTATTATTCTAACTATTACTGCTACTGTAAGCTTATGCAAAGTTGAAACAGCCCAGTAGTTCCAAGCGCATTAAATTGTGCTAGTGAATGACAACAAGGCGGTGAAAATGTATCTTTTTTTTTTCTGTTGCTCGAAATTTATAAAAAGAAATTTGCAGCAGCATTGCAGTTAATAAGCGTCAAACCCCTCCTGAATGACACAGAGGACACAGAGTTGCTGAATGACTGAGAGCTAAATCCCCTTGTGTGTTCTGAAAGAGCGCCAGCGCTGCAACATCAAAGTTAAAACTATGCAAAGTAAGCGTGCAGCATTAAAAAAAAAAAAAAAAAGACCAGATGGAGAGACTTAGCTTGTGTATGACATTTATACTATCTAACCACAGCGTCCAAGTTACATGAAATATATTATTGGTGTGAAGACATCAAAGGCAAATCTGTCAGATTCTAAGATGCTTTGTTGACTGATGCAGCTTTCATGATCAATTTTCTGAGGATTTTATTATCAATTTAAACCTCTTTATGTTTTATTTAAGGAGGTCACACTTGGTCAGACTCCTGATCAGTTGTTACATGTAGAAATGTGGGTGTGATGTAGTCACCGGTGTTACTCAGCCTGCAAAAAAAAAAAAAAAACTGATCCTTAAGCACTGTGTACACAGATAGGGCTGGATTTCTCTCCTTTGTGGAAGAGTTTAAAATATTCATCACTTATACACATTACTTGTGAGTCTGCTAAGGGAAAGGCATAGAAAGAGCATAGCATGCACTGCATAAAAATAAAAAGGTATCTACACATCTTGAAATGATATATATCAGCATATATATAGCCAAAACTATTAGAAAATTGATTCCAATTTAGCAATGTGCTATGATTTACACTTTTATACAGAGCATGATTTAATCAAAATCTAATTATTTTTGCTATATTTTCAGTCTACCTGTTTGTTTTTATCTTAAGCGAAGCTACACAGATTATGATCCCTCTCATAATCCCTTTTGATACTTGAAATCATATTAATAAAATGTGCCTTCTCTTCAAAAGCAATGAAATCCCTCCCTTAGATGTAAAAAGGAACATCGAAAGGCATACTGCATTGATAACTCGGTCAGAACATACAATTCTCAAGACAGATTCATTAGTTGGCAGTTTAATTTAAGAGTATTGATGGGAAGCAACACATTTTAGGGTACAAAAAGCCATGTTCTGATACATTGATAATGTTGTAGCACGTAATTTCTAAATAATTAATTTTAATCCGTCTCCTTTTTTAATTTCTTTGTAGAATATATTTAGGCTTAGTAAGGGAAAACTTCTTTGATGACATAAAAATCCAAATTTGGGCTAATGGTTTAGGTCCGAACAAAATGCATTTCCCTGCAAAAGTGCTCAACACCTTCATCTGTCTTTTACATGCCAGTTTTGTCTCTTAACAGCTTAAGTGCTTCATCTTTTGTTCTCTGGATTTGCAGGAGCTTTCAAAGGCCCTTTCAATACAGGTGTGCTTTTTAAGGTGCTTAAGCAATTAAAGACATCAGAGTAGAGCATATATTTGTCTTAAAAATAGGCCCCACTTAATATATATAATTGGCCACGAGCAAGGTTGGCTTCTTTAATATGCAGTGGTAATAATAATATGTTCCCAGCAGGAAACGACAGTCTGAGGATTTACAGGAAGCCTCCAGCTCTGGGTTCACACGGGACCAAATTTATGTACATGTAGAAAGTCAGAATTTCATAAATTTCCTACCGATTCTATATACCATCCTGGGTCGTGCTCCTCATTTGACTCTGGTAGACATGGACACAGAAATCCTAGCACATAAACTTGCAGTATAGACAAGAGGTTAAGCCAAATATTTACATGCACTGAATTAAAAGATTTTTTTCCCCCTCATTATCTGACATCACAGCTGACAAAACCTTCCCTGTTTTTGGTCAAGTTACCAAATTACAACAGTTTGCTAAATACCAGAGATTTTTAGTGTTATTCAGAATCGCTTTTGTAAACTGCATGACAGTAATTGTTTGGGGTATCTTTTCCACAAGCACACACGCAACACAAACCTTTTCAGCTCTATCCACAAAATCAGAGTGATGGAGTGTTGTGATGGCCACTCCAAAAAAAAACTGAGGTTTTTACTTAGGCTGCAACATCAAGTAGTTGGATATAAAAGATTTACATTTACTTGTACCAATTTCAAGCCAATTGGAGCTCAAAAAGCAAGAGTCGGTATACAGTTTTTTAAACCTAGATTTATATAAACATGGATGGATCCATAATACAGTCTTTTCTACTCAAAAATTCAGCAAAAAGCATCCGCAGGTACTCACTGAGGGATGATTGTATGCTGGCTTGGAGCACTCCAGGCATGCAGTAGACGAGTCTTATATGTTCAGGTTAACCTATTCAAATCTATTGAAATGTCTCTGAATACAGTGTTTCTAGAAAATAAAGTTGATGCTATCTGAAAACTAAAGTATCTGATGTTTCAGTTTCTGAGACAGAGATATTGCTGTGGAGGAATGAGCATAAGTATGCTGTGGTTCAATCAACTTCTATGAAGTGAAAGGACTGAATACAAACGCACTGTCAGTGCACAACAAAAGATTAATTTAAATTCAAGCAGGCCAGTCAGCATCAAACCATGAGCAGAGCTGTCTACTTTTTTATATATTATAAAGTTTGAGAAAACAAGTGTAGACAAAATATAAGTTGAGCATGGCAGATGTGCTTTTAGAATGTTATCCTTGGGGGTGGAGGAGAAATTAAAAAAGTGTTCAAGGATTCTGTCCCACCTATCGAGTTCCTATATCAGCTTGCCCTTGTAAGGTCACAGTGTTGGTGGCATTGGTTCCCATCTCGGTGGTCAGCCGACACTATGGGCAGGTTGCTAGTAATTACAGGACAACACAAAGATGCATAGTAGAGACAGCCATGAAAGAACCTGGACACATTTATAATTTGCTCATAAAATACTTTAGCGAGCTTGTAAAATACATATTTATGAAATACAAACAATATATTTTCAAGTAGAAATTTTTATTTAAATCAATGCATTGTTCACACTTACTCGCCACCAATGGCCAACTGTCGGAAAGTCAGGTACACCATGGCTCCTGTACAACACAGAAAGAGCACACAACCAAATAAAAATAAAATACCCTATTAAAATATATTTAAAAAAAAAACAGATGTACTTGCACAAACCAAAAGAGTAGAGAAGAATTTAAAAATGTGAATTTGCTCCTAAAGGTTTTACATTGGTTGTCATGGTTTGAGGCACTCTTCTGACCCACATGTGTAGAAACTCTCGTGAGACAAGGTTTAAAGCTTAATAGGTTTATTGCAATTCAGGAAGAAGTGGAGATGAGTTGATCCAGGAGGGGAGTGGAACCGCTGAGGAAGATGGCGAGAGATGAGTGGGAGGAATAACAGAAGTGAATGTTGCTGGAGAAACCTTGTGGAAAGTCTTACTGAACTTAGATGATTAGTTTGGAGCATGAAAGAAGGGAACGGAGTGCGGGGGTGCAAGTCTGTGCGGAATAGATGTTAGAGCATTGCAGGGCAGGTTTGGTTGGAGTATCAGTGGAAGTCTGGAGCCCTGCAAACGCTGGTCACGGAGAATGAAATCTGAGAGGTTTTTGCATGCAGGATGAGTGAGAGAGAGCAATCCAGGAAGTAACTTAAGAGGGTACCTTGGAAGCAGGAACGACGAACAGAGTTGACATGAGGCTTGAAAGACCAGGAATTAAGTGACCAGCAGCCAGATCCTTTTAAGCATTTGCTGATGGGCTGATAAGTAGCAGGTGTGCAGGGCCACACTGCTCAGCCCCACCCTCTGGCGGAAACCTGCAGCTCCGTTGAAGAGAACACGCCACACAAGCACAACATGTACATACATACCCAGATGGTGGTATAAATTACAAACAACACAACTAGCACAATGCTGTAGACGTCTGGCACCAAATCATTTTACTACCTGCAAAAACACAAGAAAGAAAGACATGCATTCAGGCACTGGGATGGTTTCTGTTGACATTGGGCATTAGGTGGATAGTGGAGAAGAAGTAAATTCTTTTGTTTTGTAAGAGAAGCAGCAGAAGACATCTTTTATTAATAACAAATATGTTTATAAGTGCTATTGTCCATCCCAACTCCAAATGACTTTCATAATACTTCTAGTATTACTTTTATTTTTAGATCATTTCAAATTAACATACTGTATTTGCCATGAGGACCAGCATTTTAAGTATCTAAATATGCCTTTGATGTCCGCAGTTCATGTACAATCATTTTAAAGCACGCCATTAAAAAGGACTTCTTCCATCTGCTTGTTTTTTTTTTGTGTTTATGGAGTTAAAATATTGCAGTTAGCAATCAGGTCACATCTTTTTTTCTGCTCAGCCAGTTAGGCAAAAGAAATGTGATCCAATAACCGAAAATACGATTTAATGAACCTTTTCTTTGCTCAGCCTAGTAGACTGGGATGTAGATTACTGTAATGAAAAAGAAGACAGAAGCCACTTTTAGAGAACGTCGCCAAAACGCAGAGATTGCCCTGAAAGCTGTTAAAGTGAGTTTAATTCATCACGGTCTATTACAGCATGGACAAGCTTTCATGATCAAGGCAATGACCCGTTTTCCAAACAACCACTCAGCATGTGGTTTGAGCACACTGTGGGAGTGAAAATGTATTGAGCTTGATTTATTGCACACTGTGAAAATTTCTGCAATGAGCTCTGAAGTAATAACAGGCAATCTACAGTCTGATCTGTCTCTGCTTAGCGTGAGTTTTTGCTCACTTTTTAACATTAATTTCACATAAGAGTTCCGTCAATAAAAAAAATAAAAAATCCTGGACCCACATGAGTAATACATTTTTTATTCAGACTGACACCTATTTAACAAAAAATGTTTGCCGATCTAAGGGAGGGGAATAAGGACATTATACATGGGTATTCTGGCTAAAGAACAAGTCTAAACAGGGTGAAATCACTCACATTTGTTTTGGTGTTATCTCTTATTTTAAATGGGGGCTGTTTGAAGTGGGCTGTAGTGATGTGAATTTTTTTAGGTGAGAAATAACCTAGTCCCTTACACATGAACAATTCTTTTTCAAGGGTCAATAGGGTCTGTGGCATTTAAAAAGTAATTGTAAACATGTCTTTACCAAACTCAAAAGACACTGAGATCTTCTTTGTTACACATTTTGAATTGCTCTTTGAAATTTAGAAAGACACCTTTACCCTTATCTAGAAGTCTAAATAAAGAGCAAATATAGCACTATATAAATCTGTTGTAATTTCATAAATACATTGAGTCGATGCCAAAACATTGGCTGTTTTCTATTTGTATTGGCAAAGAGATTGTAGCTTTGCGACTAGTGAGTTAGTACCCACTGTTTGTTGCTGGTCTCCCCTGAAGTCTCGTCACAGTGGCAAGAAAATCTGCAAACGGGTGTTTGCAGAGGTGTTCAAGAGGCAGATCAATCAGACGCCTGAACAACCTCAACTAACTGCACATGGGAAGGAGAAGCAGCTGTAGTATGAGCATCTCATTTTATCAAACCATCCATGTTTAATGTGGGTGGGAATTTTTACAGCTTATCTCTGAGCACTTACAATACTGCAAGCCAAACTTCCAACTATATCTTGTCAGTAGTGATTATCATTAGTGATCAAAATATTAAGATACTAGAAGCTGACAGACTGACCTACCACCTTTGTTCTGGTTTAGAAGAATGTGTCTGCTGAACGTCATGGATTGAACGCAACAAAGTTCAACCTGTACTGGAAAATGAAACTGGACTATGAACCAAAATCCCCTCCAAATACGTTTGATAAAGATTGCATTTAGTCTTGCCCCCAAACGCTTTCATAGAAAAATGTCCAAAACCCAAAACAAACCCAATCAAGAGAGCATAAAGTGGCCTACATGTCTCAAACTGGTTCATACCTCTTACAGCTAAAGTAAGCATTGTAGTGCCAGACAACACACTGATGTGTAAATTGCATAAAAACCACAGGTGGTGCCGCCCTTGAATGAGCCTGCGTCTTCTATTTTCTGAGCACGTTACATTGCTAAGCAACACAAAGATTGCTGAACTCCTTTTTGGAGGAGCTGGTTGTAGCCCATCACTGACTAATAACACTGTGCTGCTGTACTGAACTATTTGAGCACCATGCTGGCAGTTATTAGGTCTGAAATGTTCTGCACAGTTTGCCCTAGATACTCTTACTTCCCAGTGTTGTTCACAATTCACATTTACATTTTATGGCTACAGGATGAAAACAACCACACAAGGACCATCAAAGAAGATTGTAAAGAGGGTCAAATTTCATATTCCTGCCAAATAGAGCCAGATAAGTCAATACTCTAGAATATTTTATACTTATAATCAATGTTTAATAAGTGGGGCCCATTTAGCAAGTTCTTTAAATTGAGAAAACAATGGCAAAACATGTGAATATATTTTCCTCCTTTTAGTTTGGATTACAAAAAATAAAACAAGAGAAGATCTTTGATTTCTCTGCACTAAACAAAACAAGAAGATTCATGGTTTCCCAAATTGCATCACCATCAATATTGGGCTGAATTAAAAGATGATTTAGGAAAAAACATTGTGATTTTTAGCAAGTAAGATCAGCAACAAATACCTTGTATGATCTAAAATGAATAGGATTTATCTACATCTCATTGCAAATCCTCTTCAAAACTGTTTGCACTATTTACTTTACGAATATCTCCTGAATAAATAAGACATAGTGTAATATTTTTGTTTTGGTCAAAGAAGACACAGCTCAAATACAGCTCCAGATGATGGGAGAAATGTATTCATCCATCATCAACATGAATGACATTTTCTTTTGGCCCTTTATATAATGCATTTAAACTTAGAATACAAAACCAGCAATGCACTTAGCATCCACAGACATTAAAAATAAGAAATGCAATTTTATCTTGGCTTTAATCTAAGCAGAATGAGATTTTTATATGCTGGATCTAACATTTACATACATCCCCACAGATATTTGGATAAATGTTAAAATACACACTTTTTGTAGCCATCTGGCTGAAAATGTGACCACTCTTCTCATCAGAAATAGTAATAGGGCTATTCTTATTATGTTGGGTTCTTGGCACAGATCCAACTTTTAATCAAACTTCAACTTTTTTAAAAGGTTGAGGTTAAGGCTTTTTTTTTTTTTTTTTTTTAAAACCAGCTACTTATTACTGTGTTAATAGAAAGGTTGAGCTGTCTCAAACTTTCAAGCAAGTGTAGTTATTGCTTGGTTTGATAGTTTTGGTTGCTTTGATTTGCAATGCTGTAATGCACACCGTTTTGGAAGTGCAGATGATCCGAGTGATGATTTTATTTGTTCTCATCCTATTTAAAATTCACCCACAAAATGTTAGCACCTACATCATGCCCATGTCTTAAAAAGCTGCTGGGTGTTAGGTTTCTTTTTTCCCTCCACGCTGTAATAAGGTGGTGTTTTCTATGAAACTGTTTAAAGTGCTCGTGGATATGAAAATAACCTTATAGTTTTGCAGAAACGTCCCTACATATGCACTGCGTATTTCTTCTAAAACTTCTCATAAATTGTTGAAATGACACATCACAAAACGGTTACCAATAACATCCAAGTGAGGCGATGTTTGCCTGTGTAAAATTGTAATATTTTTATGACACAATGTGCATATACGCATCTGTAGGGACTGGAAATAAGGTTAATTCAAAGGAGACTCCCATCAGTGTCAGAATTGCTTCTTGTAGTACTGCAAAGAGGTTATTTCCACTCATGCAGCTATTGTATGCTCCATTTGCATGTTTCACCTGAAGTCTCCTCAAAATTGCTGGAAAATTACCTTAATGCCTCCCAACCTGCAAGGAAAGGGTAAGCTGCTGACAGCCTGGTAACATCAGGTAAACAAAT